AGCGGCCAGCGGGAGGGAGTTTCTCCCAGGCTCAGGAAGCCAAAAGCGAGGGATGGTGGGAAGCGGGGAAACGATGTGGCTTTGGGGTTGCCACTCCCGGGAAAAGCAAGAGAAAGAAAAGCATCCCAAGAGAAAAAAGAAAAAGAATGAAGAGGGTTCAGGGTTCGATGAGAGGAAAGATCTTGGACTTGAGGGATAAAGTTTAGCAATCAGCAATTTGGGGGGGGGGGGTTGGGTGGAGCTGCTTATCCTCAAAGGGGTCCTGAGCGCCCACTTCCTTTGAAACACAGCCTTGGAGTTGCCCTTAAGACCAGGGGTGTCAAACTCAAGGCCTAGGGGCTGGATCCGGCCTGCAGGTTGCTCCCGAGCTCCGTTTTCGCTGGCAGAGGGCTGCAGGAGACAGTCGCGGCCAAAAATGGATCCCGGGAACTTGTTTTCGCTGGCAGAGTGCTCGGGCCACCACAGGCGCCCCCTAGTGACGTTGAACTGGCCACACTCATCCTGGCCACACTCACCCCGGGGACAAACACAACCCTGATGCAGCCCTCAAGGAAATCGAGTTTGATCCCCCTGCTCAATAGAAAATAGAAAAGAGCCGAGGTGGCGCAGTGGTTAGGGTGCAGTACTGCAGGCCACTTCAGCTGACTGTTATCTGCAGTTTGGCTGTTCTAATCTCACCGGCTCANGGAGGCTTCCCAAGAGCGTGAAACAAACTCCTTGTCCCGACAAAACCCCCTTTTATTAATTGACTGTGAATTCTGCTCATTCCCATCCAGCAAAGTCTTTCAAGGGAGGATTTACAGTCACAGACCTTCTCTGGCTTGGAGAGCTGCCAGGCCGCGATCTGCAGAACTTGGCCAGGAGTCTGGGAGAGCCACGAACAAATGAAGCGAACTAATGGTCTCCTGCAAACTCCACTCCCCTTTCGCTCCTCTTTTATTTCCTCTGGGAGGGGCCATTCATTCATTCACCTCTGGCCTTCCTCCCAAGTTCTTTAGCTGTTCCCTTCGTCTGTCAACTCTGCGCGTGCACACACTGGGAACAGGCTCCAGCTGTTCATCTGCCTCACTGATGTCTGATTCTGAAGGCAGCTGATAATTGACATATAACTGTGGCCCCCTCCCTGCCTCTGACCCAGAGCCCTCATCAGAACCTTCCCCAGACTCCAGGACTAACCCAGGATCCTCCCCAACCTCCTCACTGTCCGAATCTGCTAATACGCTGGCTGCTGGAGAGACACCTTCATGGGTAACCAAGACTCGGGGAGAATTCTACGGCGACAAAGGATTTTCCAACTTTCTCGGGGTCTTAAGAGGCCCTTTGTCCATGAGGTTAATGGTGCCGGCCCTGAAGGCAGCCTGCAAAGCGGCCAACCTGCCCTTAAAAATCTCAGTTCAAACGTCCTGCCAAAAATATTACCTTCACTGTCTTGTTTCTTATTAAAGACTTTATTCGATAGCAAAAGGCACACTTTTACAACTGTGAAGCTGCCGACGATGATTCTTTCTTTCCTTGTCTCTGTGTGGGTTTTGTTTTTACAAAAAATATTTTTTTCTCTTTTTCAACCTGACCCTGGCTAAGTCGCCTGACCGCCTCACTTTCCTGCCCTTGGAAGGCGAAACACTGATCCGGCTTTTTTTAACGAGGGGTTTTCCCCCCCTACCTCCCCCCTGGGCTGGTAGAGTAGGAAGTAAGTAAGTTTGGACACGATCCGAGAGGTTTAAAAACCCAGGAGAAAAGAACGGCGGTGCATGAAAGTTGGAAGAGAAGGGGAGGACAAAAAGAAACAAAAAGAGACAAGCCATTCTTCTTGATATTTTAAGTAATGGTATTTGCGTTTTCGATATTGAGGAATACGTGGCAAAATCATTTCTGGTGTGAAAGACAAATGGAGTCCGTTTGACCACAAGGGGCAAACTGGACCAGTGGATAGTTCAGTCCAAGGAAAGGAATCCAGTCACAGGGACACTTTCCTCGCGTGGAGAAGCCTGGCCTGTGTGCTTCCACAGAAACCTGGAGTGAGGGAAGGGGTGGGTGGAAGGGTGGGGGGCTCCCCTTTCCTTCTCCCCCTTCTGAACCCAAGACACCATTGGCCAAACGTAGAGGGAGCCCCACCCAGCCCCTTTCCAGCCACGCCACGTTTTAAAGCACGCCAGGCCTTCAGGCTCTTTCCCGAGGTTTGTGTTCCCTTTCCATGTCCAGGAAAGGACGTTATGTGGACGGCCAGCCAGCCAGCCAGCAATCAGTACAGATATCAGAGGGGGGGAAAGTCCATAAGCTTTAATAGACACCACTCCCACCCTGCAACCACTAAACGTGGCCTCTTCAGACCTGAAAAGTTCAAGAGGTGTTTCCTCGGTGACCGTTTTTTTTCAGAAGGGGGGGGGAGGCGCAAGCTTCGATGGGGAGGGGGGGTGTTGAAGGGCCACTCGGGCCCCGCTTTCCCTCTTCTCGCTTGGTGTGGCTGAGTTATCGTACAATTTACATCCGTAGCCAAGAAGGCGACAGGCTCCGTTGCTTGCCCTTCTTTCTCTTTCTCTCTCTCCCAGCGGCCTTGGGGAAGCCTTCAGAAAGTCCATCGGTCATGCAGGTGGCTTGGGCTGCTAAAGGAGTTGCTCGTGGAGGCCTCTGTGGTTGGGGCCCGCTGAGCGGAATCCTCCCCGTTCAGGCTCTTCCGGCAGACGGGACACGTGTCGTGCTGACGAAGGAGAAAGGAGGGGAAAAAAGCACGCGTGTGAGTGACCGGAGGGAGGAACGCTGTCTTTTTGTGGCTTCTAGTGGTTCGGATACAGAGCCGCGGTGGCGCAGTGGTTAGAGGGCGGTACTGCAGGCTGCTTCTGCTGCCTGCAATTTGGCAAGTTTGAACCTCACCAGGCTCATGGTTGACTCAGCCTTCCGTCCTTCCAAGGTCAGTAAAATGAGGACCCAGATTGTTGGGGGCAAGAGGACGACTCTGTCAAACGCTTAGAGAGGGCTGAAAAGCACTGTAAAGCGGTATGTAAGTTTAAGGGCTATTTCCCCCTTCCCTTTCCTATCATTAGTACTGCAAGCTAACTCTGCCCACTGCCAATAGTTCAATGCTGAACAGCTCAAGGTTGACTCAGCCTTCCGTCCTTCTGAGGTGGGTAAAATGAAGACCCAGATTGTTGGGGGCAAGAGGCTGACTCTGTAAACCACTTAGAGAGGGCTGAAAAGCATTGTGAAGCGTTATATAAATGTAAGAGCTATTGCTTGTGAAAGAAAGAAAAAGGAAGGAAAGAGAGAAGGAAGCAACGAAAGGAAAGGAGGGAGGGAGGGAGGGAGGGAGG